CATGTATCCTCCCCCCCCCTCCCCGGAGGTGGCGCAGCCCGTGTATCGCCCCCTGGAGGTGGCGCAGTGCTTTTGCTGTGTATCGCCCCCTGGAGGTGGCGCAGCGCTATTGCTGTGTATCGCCCCCAGAGGTGGCACAGTGCTATTGCTGTGTATCGCCCCCTGGAGGTGGCACAGTGCTATTGCCGTGTATCACCCTCTGGAGGTGACACACGGACTTGCATGGTAACGCTGTCCAGAATGTCTCGCCCATATCTCCTTTTCCCTTTACTCCTCTTCCTTTTCACTGGTTTAGGCAGCCGGAATGAGTGACCCCGACGAGGAGGGTCCCGAGCCGATCCGGGCCGAGCGTGACCTGGCAGCGGAGGCCATGGCGGCCGACATGGACCCCTGGGTGGTTTTCGACGCTCGCAAGACGCCGCGAGCCGAGTTCGATGATTGGCTGGACAGCAACCGGCCGTCCCGGGTCTTCCGGCACGGTGATCCGTGCCACAACGCCGAGCCGGTGGGCTGGATCGCCATCTACGGGCCAGGCAGCCTGCCGGCGGCCGAGCGCGGCGACTGCGAGGGGCTGCAGGAGGATTGGGAGAGGCTGCAGGACAGCGGGCGGCCGGTCACCTTCGAGACGGTCAAGGAGCTGGCGCTGAACCGGCGGGTACTGAGTGGCAAGTGGCTGATGCACCTCGACACGGGCTTCAAGGTGGACCACGCCTGGGCTAGCATCGCCAGGGCGGTGCTGGACAGCAAGCTGCGCTCTGCCAAGGTCAGCCCCTACTGCCCCGACACGGGGGCCAAGCACGTCATCTGTGTGTACGGCGATGACTTCACCGACGAGAGCCAAGTGGTGGGCCTCGATGCCGCCATCCGAGCTGCGGGCATCAAGTGCCCACTTTCCTACAAGCCCGATGCCTACACCTACCTGGGCCTTTACCGGGGTAACCGCTGGAAGCTCTGCCCCACCATCTACGAGAGCCACTACGACCTGGAGTGCATCCCCCGACGCTCCCGCATTACCTGCAAGGTGACCATGACCGAACTAACCTAACCAGGCGCGCGTGCATCTGCTCTGCCACTGGCGGTGTTTTTTTTTAATTAACATTATTTTTCAAGTGTACAGATTCAGAGAAACTAGAGAGAGAAAACGAGCAAATGACCCCTGTGTCGGCTTTGTCAATACGTGGCGCGGTTCTCACTCGCGAGGGGTTAGCCTAGTGCCGTGAAGGATGGACAAAGGGGCCGTTCGGCCCGGCTGGTCTGCGCTGTCCTCTAGCCGCCTGCTCCCGTCTTGTCCGGTTCCCCCCCCACCCCCGACTTTAAATCCATCTGCACTCTCCACCTCGTCCACTCTCTTGGGGCTAACGAGTCCCATTCGTTTGTGGGACGTGGGCTTCCCCAGCACTTATCGCCCTTCCGTTTTTGCCCTGGGAACGTAGTTCAGATTCACACGCAGGCCGGACCAAGTAAGGAGAGCCGTTTTCCTATTGCGGAGGGCAATGGCCAACCAGTTGGGTTTTGGCGTTTATCATTACACTACCTTTTTAATTCCAGATTTTTACTGGGATTCGAACCCATGCCCCCTCAGAACATTAGAGCCAAAGTTCTGGCTTGCTAGACCGGTGACACTGCCACTAGGCCACTGCTGAGGAATTATAATCAGCAATAGGCCTTTCAGTCTCTTGAGCCCGCTGCACCGTTATTGTTCAGGTCGTATCTGATCTGACTGACCCCGACTCCAGGTACCTATATATTTTTAAAAATTCATTCACGATGTCGCTGGCTGGGCCACTATTTATTGCCCGTCCCTAAATGCCCAGAGGGCAGAGTCACCCACATTGATGTGTGTGTATGTGTGTGTGTGTGTGTGTGTGTGGACTCCCGTGTAGGCCAGACCAGGCAGTTTCCTTCCCTAAAGGACATTGGGGCGGCATGGCAGCTCGGTGGTTAGTGTTGCTGCCTCGCAGCACCAGGGACCCGGGTTCAATCCCACCCTCGGGCAACTGTCTGTGTGGGAGTTTGCACATTCTCCCCCCACGTCTGCGTGGGGTTTCCTCCGGGTGCTCCGGTTTCCTCCCACAGTCCAAAGATGTGCAGGTTAGGGTGGATTGGCCGTGCTAAATTGCCCCATGGTGCCCAGGGATGTATAGGTTAGGTGCATTAGCCATGGGGAAATCCAGGGTTACAGGGATAGAGTAGGGGTTTACGTCTGGGTGGGATGTTCTTCAGAGGGTCGGTGTGGACCTGTTGGGCCAAGTGGCCTGCTTCCACATTGTAGGGATTCAATGGATTATCCCCAACACACTTTTACTGCCTCGTTAGCAAAGTATCCATCTTCCACAGCCTTAAAAATATCCAATGACCTGGCCTCCAGCACATGCCTTGGACTTGCGTTGGGTGGAAATGAAAGATCACATCTCTGTCTTAAATGTCACTCCTTATTTTAAAACAGATCCTCCTCTCCCCACTCTTAATTTTAGATTCTCCATGAGGGCAACATCCCCTTAGATTCTGTCAAGCCCCCTCAGGATCCTGTGTGTTTTAATAACACCACCTCTCCTTCGAAACTCCAGTGAGTGTAGACCCAACAATCCATCATAAGATAGCATCGTCTTCTTCGGCTGTATAAATTGGTGTTCCCTTCCCAAGTTTCTTGCATTGTCTGTCCTGATACATGCAAGCTTTACCTGGATGTCTTTTTTTTGTTAAAAGCCTGGTATCACAGGAATTAGTTAATGTAATTATATCTCTCTCGAATAAGGCAGCCAAAACTGTAAAACCCCAATGTGGTCTTACCAAACGCACCGTTCCATCAAATCAAAATACCTCTACGTTCATATTCCATTCCTCTTGCATTAAGCAACATGAATGAGAATTCCATATTCACACCACTCCAGGTTCCCCTGCATGACCCTGTAGAGGATTTGTTGCGGACTGACCCCTAATTCCGATGTCACCTGCAAGCAGAGACCCGTTTGCCATGCCTACCTTACAGAACCAGTTTGAAAGACATTTCTTTTAACCACATTGCACCTCTTCCCCTCGCAAGAGGAGACGAGTGCGCTCTGACACAATGTTTGAGACTTTTGCAGCCCTCCATTAGTTCACCCCTCTGCCTTCTCTTTTCTGTTGGTCCTTTCCTGCTACGTGTCCCCACGTGTTTCTGTATCGACTTTCTCTGCACCCTCTCCTGTGCCTCTCTGCTCGCCACTTCCACATTATGGGCAGGAACATGCCTAAGCAAGCTCCAACCTTTTACTTTTCAGTTCTGTCCCGTCCCACTAGAAGTAAAACTGAGTGCTCCTCCGCAGGGCCTGAGCATTCGGGGGCGTTGGCAAACACCCATCATTCAATGGCTGTTGAGGGACACCAGGCACACTGCTCACAGAGGAATAGCTGGCGTTTCAGTCTCTCGTGGCCTCTTGGTATACCCTATAGATGCAGAATCAATCTGTACCGCACGACCCTACTTTATCTCTCTCGCCACTGAAGACTTCTGTGAACAGCAGAACGTGGGTTGGTTTAATCTCTTTCTCTCTGGCCTACCACCCCCCAACACACACACACACACACACTCTCCCTCTCTCTTAGCAAGCAGAACCCAGGCCCAAAATGGAGCCCGGACTCTTTCTGGCCCAGTGTCCAGGGCTTAACACTGCTCCAAAATCCACAGGATTTGAGGAGGCCATTCAGCCCCTTGGGCCTGCCTTGCCATTGAAGAACAACATGCCCTGAATCCCACCTTCCTTCTGTTAGCACCCCCAAAACCCTTGACTCCCTGAATCAACAATCGAAATCTGCCTTGAATATGCTTGCTGACCCAGCCTCCACTGCTCTCTGGAGAAGAGAATCCACCAATTAATGACCCCCCATGATGAAATTGTCCTCATCTCTCTGACTAAGACCCCTTTGTTTTTACAACTTCAGTTCTACATTTCTCCTACTCCCGCATCTATCCCATCAAAGGCCCCTCAGGATATGTTTCAGTAACATCACTTCTCGTTCTTCTAAACTCCAATGGCCCAACCCACTCAACTGTTCCTGACAAGACTAGCCTCATTCATTCCCAGGAATCAGTCGAGTGAACCGTGTCTGGTGCAGGTAAATCCCTCTTCGAGTAGATTGCAGTCTCACCAATGTTTACTGCAGCGAGCATCTCTGCATTTATACACTGCTCCCCCTCTTTGCAAGTAACACCCGTCTTAATCACTTCAGCTCTGACGAAGAATCATCTCGACTCAAAACGTTAGTTTGCTCTCTCTCTGGATGCTGCCTGACCCAGCATTTTTTTTTTTGTTTTGTTTTCAGTACAGATTCCAGCATCTGTAGGAATTTACTCATTTTCCACCTGCTGTGTCTGCACACTAAGTCAAAAACCTCAAATTTGACATGTCCAGTAACTTCACAGAAACACGACAACACTAAATTCAATTTTAACTATTTATTTAAAAGAATCATAGTTTACTTTTTAAAAAAAAACTACATCATTCTGTTACACATGCTAATAAACACATACATTTTTAGCCACAAGGTTATTTTGCAGGAACTGACTGCAGTAGGGGACTCTATGCACCTACAGCTAAATAGCTAGTCTCTTGAGCTCTATTTACAGTTGCTGGCAGAGTAGGAATGGATGGAGTTTCTTTCTCCCACAGAGACACCCTCGGCTGTTTGACTGTGGGAGGGGGCACTTTGCAGCTAAGCCCATTCCTGCAGCACTCGGGAGTTGGTCTCCAGGCAGGTAACTGAGGTTGTATCCGCCTTAGCTGCTCTCTGCTCGTGAGGGTCGTGCGTGTTGCAAAACCCCCTCAGGAAACTGACAAATGTTATCACCAAGGGGATGGTGGTGACCCAGGGTCAAAATGGGCCATGCTGTTTTACTGAGGCATCAGCTCACGGCATCGCGTCTTTCCCAACGTGGTTTCAGGGGAGCTGGCACTATATAATTGTCACTGCCTGCTCATTCCCAAGAATCTTCACCAGGCACTGACCATCTTCCCCCTTGATGTTCGATGGCATCACCATCACTGAATCCCTTACTATCAACATCTTGGGGAGTCACCACTGACCAGGAATGGAACGAAAATGGTTGTACAGAGACTGTGGCTCCAAGAGCAGGTCAGAGGCTATGAACCATGCAGCGCGTAACTCACCTCCTGCCTCCCCAGAGCCTGTCCGCCCTTCAACAAGGCATGAGCCAGGAGTGTTTCTTCGATTACCTGGATGGGGGCAGCCCCAACAGCATTCAAGAAGCTCGTTAACAACTAGTACGAAGCTGCCTAACTGTGAATGTGGTGCCGACCATCTGCTCCCTCCACCACCTACGCTCTGTAGCAGCAGTGTGTACCATCTACAAGCTGCACTGCAGAAATTCACCAAAGATCCTCCCACAGCACCTTCCAACCCTTCAATCTATACCACCCAGAAAAGCAAGGGCAGCCTAAATTTGGGAACACCACCCCTAAAAGTTCCCCTCCGAGCCACTCCCCAGCCTGACTCGGAAATATATCGCCGCTCCTTCAGCGTCGCTGGGTCAAAATCCCAGAATTTCCTCCTTTCACTGGGAGCCAGTTAACATTGTGGGTGGCCCTATAGCGTCGGGACTGTAACAGTTCAAAGGGGGCAGCTCATCGGGCAATTGGGGATTAGTGACAAATGCTGGACTCTCATTCCGTGAAGTGAATTTAAAAACAAAGGAGAAAAAAAAAGCCAAGATCGCAGGGTGCTTTCTCAAGGCTGTGTGGAGTTGTACTTCCTTGCCAAGTCTTCCTCCCTTCCTGAACCTGCCCTGATACCAGTCTCAAGGGAGGGGGGACACAGGAAGGATTTGAATCAGTCTGTTAACATCAGCCGTGCAATCAGTTCGCCTGACCAAGAACTCCAGTCCGGAGAGAGATGGGTCCTATTTAATAGAAGACTTTCGCTGATGCACAGCCGTATGGGATGGCAGCACCGCCATTTTCCCCGCCAGTGACATTCCTCCCCCAGTGTGTTTTTTTGCGTTGTTTTAAAATGAAAATCTCCTCGCTTTTTCTCAATCTCGCTAACAGTTGCAAAAATGAGTGAGTAGGCATATTTAATTTTATTTTTGAAGAAAAGGAAACCGAACCCTACACGATGAAAACAAAATGCAGCTTCTGACAAAACCTTTAGGCAAAAAATAGTCCCTTCACATGATGGGCCAAGTGCTGGAAAAGGGATTAGATTAGTCAGGTGCTTGTTCTTGGCTGGTGCAGACTCGATGGGCCGAAGGGCCTTTTTCTGTACTGTAGACCTCTATCACTCTAGGAAATGAATGAGATTTCAAATCCCCGGCTTGGGTTCAGGGTTAGCAACATGTTCACTTGTGCCAAGCTGGCACACGTCTTCCTACCCTTCAGTCCACCTCATCCATGCCGACCAGACATCCTAAATTAATCTAGCTCCATTTGCCAGCATTTGGCCCATATCCCTCTAAACCCTTCCTATTCATGTACCTATCCAGATGCCTTTTACATGTTGTAATTGTACCAGCCTCCACCACTTCCTCTGGCAGCTCATTCCATACACACACCACCCTCTGTGTGAAAAAGTTGCTCCGTTTAAATCTTTCCCCTCTCACCTTAAACCTATCTCCTGTAGTTTTGGACTCCCCTAGCCTGGGGAAAACACCTTGATGATTCACCGTATCCGTGCCCCTCATGATTTCATAAACCTCTCTAAAGGTCATAAGCTTCCCCCCACAGTCCAAAGATGTGCAGGTCAGGGTGGATTGGCCGTGCTAGATTGCCCCATCATGTCCTGGGATGTGCAGGCTAAGTAGGTTAGCTATGGGAAATGCAAGGTTACAGGGTAGGGGGCATGTGGGTCTGGATGGGATGCTGTTCAGAGGGTTGGTGCGGACTTGATGGGCCGAATGGCCTGCTTCCACGCTGTAAGAGATTCTAAGACTGAGCCTGCGATTCTCCAGGGAAAATAGCACCAGCCTCTTCAGCCTCTCCTGGTGACGTCCTTGTATATGTTTTCTGGACTCTGCACAAAACAAGATGGAGGCATTGGCCTTCCCAGAGTGCAGTGCTCTGCGGAAAGGCCTCTATTAAAGCTAGGAGGGAACAGTTATAATCAAGGCCTACGCCATTTTAAGACTTCTTGATTTTGGCTCCTTGGGTACTTCTGACTTGCTCCAGTTTGCTATTAAGTGTGCAGTTCTACTATCCACTAATGAAGAATTTATAATCTCTTGCTCAAAACACGTGTTCGCAGTCAGAAATAGATCTATATGAATCAACAGTGTTGGTGGTGATTACAGTAGACAGCTCCGAAACCACTTGAAGGCACTTCTCTCTCCCTCTCTCTGCGCAAAAGCAGATTTCTGTCCAGTGAAGCAATAGACAAAACGTGGCGATAAGATGCCCCCATCATATCTACAACGTCTATAATGTTGATTGAGGTAGAGGGAGGAAAGTTTTCCTGGCCTCCACCAATTTTGGTCTCTTTAGGAGAGTCACAGTTCCCATCGCTCCACCATTGGTGGTCCTGCCTTCAGCTGTCGAGCAACATGGTACGTGTTACCAAAAACCCTTAGGGCAAGTCTGCAAAATGACAGAGAGAGAGACACGTGCCCAGGCAAACAGACAGAGGCGTAGAGGTTTAGGGCTGGAATTCCAGAACTTGGAACTACAGACAGCTGAAAGCACGGCCAGTACCGGTGGATTGATGGAATCTGTCAGTGGGAGGGGGGAAAGAGAAGGGAGGGGAGAAAGAACTGGAATAGAGAGGGAAGGGCTGGAAGTGGTGGGGGGAGGGTAGGGATGAAGGGGAAGAGGGAAAGGG